ACAGGATAATTGCATGTGTTACCCTCATCCACACACCAAGGGGACCACAAGTACAGTGATGATCACGAGTAGCATACACATGACTGGCAGGCTCCTAATGCACGTGATTATGACTTCTGCAAGGGGCTAGAGTCTCATGAATTGACAAATTTCCATTCCTAGACTGACCACGTGCCCTATGAGTAAACAAAAGATCATACAGTGTCTGAACCATGACTAGCATTTAAAAGTGTTGCCAGGTCCGTCCTGGCAACTGCTGGGGGATGGGAGTGACTTACAAGGTGAAAGAGAAAGGCCCGGGCCTCACTGCCGACGTTGCACAGGAAGTGACGTCATCACGCCAGCATTGTCTGGGTGACTCTCTGGTATTTGGGGGGGGAAACCTATGGTAAAACCAGCTTCTACCATCAAGTTTTTGCCCAAATAATAGAGTGCCGCCCAGACATCACTGGGTGATGAAGTCACTTCCTGTACGACATTGACAACTAGCCTAGACCTTCTCCTTTCTCCTGGTAAGCTCCTCCCCCCACTGCTGGGGTAAGGCCTGGCAGTGGGAGACCCCTGCCTCCATGAGGGGAGGGGACTGGCAACCCTAATACTTAATAATCTGCCAAAATACCATCAGGCTTAGATCTTTATATCAAGAGACACCAGCCTCCAGGTGGGGCCTGGGGATCCCCAGGAGTTACAGCTCTTCTCCAGACTACAGAGATTAATCCCCCTGGAGAAAATGGATGCTTTGGAGGGTGTGGACTCCATGGCAGTGTACCCCACCAAGGTCCCTGTCCCCCCCCCCCCCGTGTCCCCCCCCCACCCTCTCAGCGCTGAGTCTCCCAACCAGTGTTCCCTCTAAACTGTGGAGTCTTGTGAGCAGGAATTCTACTTTGTGAGCTACTGCCATTAAAGTTGTAAGTGGGCAATTTGGCTACTGCATAAATTAGCTTGCTCTGGAGCCATCCTTCCTGAGCTAACGTGTGAGCCGGAGGCTAAAAAACTGCGAGCTAGCTCGCACTTACTCAGCTTAGAGGGAACACTGCTCCCAACCTGAACCTGCCGGCCCTGCCCCTCCGTCCCCTGCCGGTGGTCCTGAGGGACCTGGCAACCCGAGACACAACCTTTTATACGGACAGGCAACCATTTTTGTATAGCTGTGAAAGTCCACCCAAAATGGCCGCTGTTTCTCTCATTTTGAACTTCACTTGTTGTTTCACGGAAGTCCATAGACGACATCTGCTCCTCTCTTTCTCACAAGAATTCACAGCAGATTCTCAGAGCTAGGATTTGTTTTGTTTTTCATCACAAAATTACATTTAATTTCCATTTTCAAATGTTTCATTGTGAGATCCCATAGCTGGAAAGTAGGCTTGCCAAGTCCCCCCGGGGGGCGGGTAAACCCCCGCCCGAGAGGCCCGTTACCCAACGCCAGCAAATCGGGCCCCGGGGGGAACTCCACCCACTTCCGGCACACCTCCTTTTAGAGGTGACATCATCACACTGGCCACATTGGGGGCGGAACGCTCTATGATTTGAGGGAAACTCTGGTTTTCCCACGAATCCTAGTGGCCTTAAAAGGGTGCATGGGGGATTTTTGCATTGTTGAATGAAAAACATACATTCCCCCCAACTAAAGACAGTACCAAAATCCAGAACGTTAAGGACAGTTACAAGCCGAAGTAATCATGCAGTTAGCAGACACGTTTCTTTTAACAACTGAAGGCTGGTACAGTGTGTTTCAGAGGCATTCCAAGCAGTGCTACACGCTTCTAAGACCAGTTGGCTTTATTTATTTATTTATTTATTTATTTAATTCAATTTGTATCCCGCCCTTCCCGCCGAAGCAGGCTCAGGGTGGCTCACATTGAAACGTTAAAATACATTAAAACACAAATTCATTACACACAAAACACATCATAAAACTCATATACATTACAGATAACAATTCACTCATAAGTACTGTTAAAGTGCTAGTGGCGGTAACTATCCAGGGCTCTTTTTGTAGAAAAAGCCCAGCAGGAACTCATTAGCATAATAGGCCACACCCAACAACAGGAACTCATTAGCATATTGGGCCACACCCCTGGCAGCACAGCTCATTAGCCCATTAGGCCGCACCTCCATGTTACCAGAAGTGTGGTCATCCAGCCACACCCACCTTTTGCTTCTTATTCTGTTGACCTTGTTTGTTGTCAAAACCCAGGGCCTTTTTTTGTAGCAGGAACTCCTTTGCATGTTAGGCCACACACCCCTAATGTAGCCAATCCTACTGAGTTTCTGCTGTTGGGTGTGGCCTGTTATGCTAATGAGTTCCTGCTGGGCGTGGCCAACTCGGGAGCCAGCCGGAACTCCGTTCCTGTGCGTTCCTGCCCAAAAATAGCCCTGCTATAGGCCATAATGTAAGACAGTTTAACGCTGCTTAGGACTGCACTGTCATTACCAATGTGTTCGCGTTAATCTTCTCCAAAGACAAGTGGAGAAGAGGCTGTTTGAGACAAGTCTGAACCGCCTTAACATTTTGCAGAAGTAGCAATGTCTGATGTCTACCACTTGGGAGGAGGTAAGAGAGCCACCACGCTCTGTTTGAGATAGGGCTTTTAATTAATGGCATTTGGCAAATGGTTTTCTTTAACGAGGCTTTGCCAAAAGGCTAGGATGCCTTCCCTCGGATATCACCCTTTGCACAGAGCTGGTGTTTTGTGTCTTCCTCTCAGTTTGCAAGGGAGCACCTAGGGAGAGCATGTAGAGAGAGGCCCTGGGTCTCCGGTGCTGGCTGCTTATCAGGCTAAGGAATGGAGCGTCCGAAGCTCGAGTTGTACATGCAAGAGAAAGTAGAAACGAGGCCGAACGGACTGTGTCAATTTATACGGCAACAGGAGCACCACATTTTGGAATGCTGCCCTGTGTTCAAAGAGCTCCTTGCAAACAGAAAACCGGCACGGCTAAGGTTGCCAGCCTCCAGGTGGCGATCGGCCAGAATGATTTACAATTGATCTCCAGATGGCCGAGATAAGTCCCCCTGGAGGAAATGGCAGCTTTGGAGGGTGGACTCTATATTGATTGATTGATTTCGATTCGTATCCCGCCCTCCCCTCAAGCGGGCTCAGGACAGGTGACAACAATGGGAAATGCAAAATCATCAAAACAATTTAACAATAAGTAGTGAAAACCGGTAAAACAGCAGGTAGCACAATACTAGAGAATATATAAGCTTCCAGCCACACTGAATGATTTAAAACAACCAGGCTGTAGAACTTGGAGCGATGACAGATCAGATCTCCTTAAAGGTGTAGGGCTGCCAGGTCCCCCGCAGGGTGGAGGTTTGCCTGCTCAAAGGGCCCCCGACCTGCTGGTTGCACTGGGCACTTCGCCAGGGGGACGCTCTAGCATTCAGCCTGAAAACTCTGTGGTACCATAGAGTTTTCAAGCTGAATGCTAGAGCGTCCACCAGCAGCATGCCTGGCGTGATGACATCACTTCCGGGTGATTGCATTGCGACACGTGCTTCATGCCTGTGCGAATGTCCCAGACCGGGACCAACTCCCGCCAAAAAAGGTAAGGCCCTGGGAAACCGCAGTAGGTCCCACAAGGCCCTGATTTCAGGCAGGAGCGTGTTCCACCAAGCTGGGGCTGGTGCAGAAAACCCTCTGGCCCTGGTTGAGGCTAAGGGGGCGTCCTTTGGGCCAGGGACAACCAGCAAGCTGTATAGCATTATACCCCCCTGCCCTCAACCAGATCCACTCCTAAATCTTCAGGAATCTCCCAAGTTAGACCTAGCAGCACCCCTCAGCATAGGAAGCAAAGAGCAGGGGACAGAAGCATTCTCCCTGTGGTGCTAGCTTTCTTAACTCGGGGAGATCTCTCTCTCTCTTGATCTCTCTCTCTCTTTTCAAAACTGAAACCCACCACCTGCGGTCTCTGAATGCCATTCTACCACTGCCTTCTCCTAGATGTGCAAATCAGACCCGAGTCAGAAGATATGGCCTAGTTGCTTTATGAATCCAGTGCTGAGTATATGACAGGGTAACGTTTCAAGAGAGTTACGAGACAGGCAATGCCAGCTAGGTATTGACCGTAACAGCTGGTTTAAATCGGGGAAGCCCTATAGCTGAATGCTAAACTTCAGAAGACCAAACAGCTGCCTCTGCCAAGACTCTTTAAACTCCAGCTGGGTTGAACTTGAAGCCGCATGTGGGAGAGAGCGGGGGGGGGGGGGGCATGGCATGCAGAACTTTCTTCCCGGGGGTTTTGTTTCCTCAGCCACGAAGCATGCCTTTGCACCAGTGCATGGTGGGAAAAGTGCTCCATCATCCCCAGAGTTAGATGGAAGCAAACAGACACGTTTCTCTGATCAGTCACCCCGGTTCAGAGCACCTCCTATGCAAGACGCTGCTTTTCTGATTGCATAGAAATGACCAGAGGGTGGGGTGGGTACACCTCTCTTCAACAACGGGTTACGTGACCACCACCCCTCAATCACAGTCCTTGACAGAACCCACTGGGGTTCAGGGAACGATTCTGGTGCCTCTCCTTCGCCAAGGTGCGCCCTGCCACATCCTGCATTAACCCCTTGTTGGAGTGTTGTGTATCTTGATTTATACCACTTGCGCACAGCCCTGGGAACAACGTTAAGGCCAAAAATGACATCTGGAAGAAGAAGGAACTGGCCATAAAAGCAGGCGGTGGCAGCGGCAGCAGAGATGTAGCAAGGCAGGCCATTCGTCTGGGTGGTGTTCCTGGGTCTGTGTGACGGGTCCTATAAATCCACACCAGAACAGGCTCTCGTGTATGATTTGAATTGATTAATGGGTTTCCTGTTCTTTTCCTGTTTTCGTTTGTTTGTTTTGTTTCGTTTTCTCTCTTCTGTTCCCCGTGTCCCATTTTCGTTTCTGTCTCGGGTTTTGTTCCGTTTGGTCTCTGGGAATGCCCCCCCCTCCTCTCGTTTATCCGCATCTTCCTCTTCCCCTCCCCGTCCCCTTTGTCCTCTTTCCCCCTTCCATGAGCAGTGGCCGCATCCATTACACTGAGATGTATGAAATGCTGACCCTCATGTCCCCACCACTAGGCCTCGGCAAGAGATGTCCCTCCAAAGTTGCCTATAAGGTAGAACAACCCTTATTTCCTTTATGGGTTAGCGATCAGTGATAAGGCGGGGAAAGCATAAATGGGAGGGCAGGCCGGGTGTGTGTGTGTAAGATGGACGGGGGGAGTTTTACTGATTAATAATCTTGAAGCTGATATGTTGTCAAAGGCCTTCACGGCCGGAGTTCATTCGCTGTTGCAGATTTTCCCGGCTCTCTCATTGACACTGATACAGAGAGTACTCCATCTTTCTGTGTCATACCTCTGAGGATGCCAGTCACGGCTGCTGGCGAAACACCAGGTTCTACAATGCCAAGACCACGGCCAGGCAGCCTGGAAATCTACAACAGCTAATCTTGAAGCTACTTGGTGCATTCAGGGATTATTTGATATCTAGAGAAATTGCGTTTGCATCTAAAGAGCTAACAGTGGCCTGTATTCAACCACATGCCAAAGACTTAGGCGCACTTGGTTTTTCTTAAGAGGGGGTGCAGATTTTCCACTCATTCCTCCCGCCTGCTGCAGCCCCCCCCCCCACCCGGTTATACTGCTCCTGAAGGTCCAAGAACAAAGTCTGAGGCTGTCGGTGGGCTGCGGCGGGAGGGAGGAGTCAGCAAGAATCACTGTGCTGTCTTAAAACGACGCAGAGTGCCCTGAAGTCTTTGGTATTGCCTGGTCGAACTGAGCACCTTACAGTGAGTCAGGTGACCGGTCTGTCAAGGTCAGTATTGCCTACTTTGACTGGCAGCAGTTCTTCAGGGTCTCTGGTAGGTCTTTCACATCACGTATCACTTGATCCTTTGCACCTGGAGATGTTGAAAACTGAACCTGGGACCGTCTGTGCACAAAGCAAATGCTCTACCCCTTAGCCACAGTTCCACCCATCTATCCATTCCATGGTCGGATACAGGCCAGTCTCTCTACCATATGAAGGTAAAGGTAAAGGTTCCCTTGCTCGAAAGCCAGTCGAATCCGACTCTAGGGTTGCGGTGCTCATCTCCGTTTCAAAGCCGAAGAGCCAGCGCTGTCCGAAGACGTTTCCGTGGTCATGTGGCCGGCATGACTAAACACCAAGGCACACGGAACGCTGTCACCTTCCCACCGAAGTGGTACCTATTTATCTACTTGCAATTTCTGGCTTTCGAACTGCTAGGTTGGCAGGAGCTGGAACTAGAGATGGGAGCTCACTCCGTCATGCGGCACCCGGGTCTCGAACAGCTGAACTACTGACCTTCCACAGCCTGCAGTTCAGCGTCTTAACCACTTGAGCCACCGCAGCTCTACCATATACTTGATACCAGTTGATGCTGATTCACCTTGGGAGCGTTCCCATTCTAAGGGAAATTGGGGGACCCGCAGGCAACCTCCTGCCCAGTGCAGTAGTGGGAGAAATTGCGCCAAAAAGGTGATGTCAAGGCAATGCTGTGGCATGACTTGGGGAATTGCTAGAGCATCCCTGGGAACAAGTAATGTCACTTCCAAGTACATGCCCAGAAATGATGTCACTAGGCATTCAAAAACTCCCAGGGGTCGTCCTCAGCTGGCAACCCTAAGAAGAAGGGTATGTAGGACAGTGCAAGTGGAAACAACTTGGAAAGGTCGCCCTGAGCTGCATAGCCCAGACAAGCCTGATCTCATCAGATCTTGAAAGCTAAGCAGGGCCAACCCTGGCAAATACTTGGATGGGAGACCTCCTTGGAATACCAGGACTGGGAGGCGGGGGGCAGGCTGCAACAAGCCACTTCTGTGAATGTCCCCCAGTGCCCCAGTAGGGGTCGGCAGAGGTCACCATGACTTCCAGGCACGGGCACGCACACACACAAATTACAAAAAATACCCCCCAAAAAACCAAACACAAATGTTAAAATAACCCCTTTCCCGTGTCAAAGACCGCAAGGGTATTTTTAATATTTCCTTAAGAGCCAAAAAGGCTATTGCAATGGAGAGGGAATCTTGAGAAGAGTCTCAAAGTATTTTTAAACTTGGTGTGCACCGTTGGTATTATGAAGGATAAAAACAAGTCAGATGATGAGCAGAGGATCATAGGCAAGGGCATGCTTTGGAAGTCTAAGGTCCCTGGTTCAGTCCCTGGCATCTTCATTAAGAATGTGTTCAGGTGGCAGAGCTGGGGAAGACCTCAGTGGAGTCCTTGCAAGAGCCCTGCCAGAGTAGGCAGTAGCAGACTAGGTTGCCTGACTCGGTATAAGGCAGTGTGATTCATTTTATCAAAGAAACTGCTGATCATAAAAAGCATTTGAATTTTCAAGTCACACAGAACCTCTGGCACATAAGGAGCTGGAACTGGAAAGCTTGCAAGAGAAGCCGGTCCAACAGTATGTGTATTCATGCCAGTTTTGAACAAAAGCGATATTTCTTTCCTTTGCATTGCACAGAATCTGGAACACAGCAGCTGCATCTAAATCAAACCCCGTCCCTGTTGATAGACAGAATTGCTGGAATGGAAGGACGAAGGTCACGTCCTGTAGAAGGAGCATGACAATTGACAGCAAGTTTGGTGTAGTTGACAGCTGAGAGCCAGTTTGGTGTAGTAGTTAGGAGCATGGACTTTAATCTGGGAGAACTGGGTATGGTTCCACACTTCTCCACATGCAGCTGCTGGCGTGACCTTGGGTCTGTCACAAGTTCTCTCAGAGTTGTTCTCTCAAGGACAGTTCTCGAAAGAGCTCTCTGAGCCCCACCTGCCTCACAGGGCGTCTGTTGTGGGGAGGGGAATGGAAAGGAGATTGTAAGCAGCTCTGAGACGCCTTTGGGCAGTGAAGGGCAGGGTATAAATCCAATCTCCTCTTCTTCTTCTCCCCAGGCTGAAATGGTTTCAATGGTGCTCTTGATTTAAAATGTGCATGGGTTGTTCATGCATCCTGGAAAGGCAGGAACCGCCACCCACTGTGGCTGAGCTGTGCATGCTTGTCCACATTAGGTTGTCAGCATTTAATGGTCCTTCAAATCCTAGCAGCACCTGAAGAATTTGGCAGAACAGGTACTTGGCCATTTGTGACGAGAGGACGCCAGAACTGGGTGGGGGACTGCGCACTTGCTCAGGTCTCAACAGTCTGGCACGCCGGCATACTTTTGTCACAGGCAAAATTACAGAATTTCAGATCCTGAATGTTTTTGTTGGAATGGTACAGTGGAGCCCTGCTAAAACACGGCCTCCATTTAAGTCAGATCGGATTGTCATTCAGTGGCATTATGCAGGATTCTTGCCAGGGACAGCTTCTGTGCGCTTTTGTTTATGACAAAACTTACTTGCATTCACACCCACGTGTTCTCAGAAGCACACGTCTCACTTTAAAAAAGAAAAGAAAAGAAAAAGCCTGCATATGGAAGTATGGTGACTTGCCTGAGAATTCTGGGGCTCAGTTCAGACAATGTGCAAAGCCACGGTTTAATTAAGCCAACTATATGTTTAGCTGGGCTAGCCCAATCTCGTCAGATCTTAGAAACTAAGCAAGATCAGCCCTGGTCGGCACTTGGACGGGAGACCACCCAGGAAGCCCAGGGTCGTGATGCGGAGGCAGGCCATGGCAAGCCGCCTCGGATTGTCTCTTGCCTTAAAATCCCTCTGGGGTCACCAGAGGTCGCCTGTGACTTGACAGCTAAAAAATAAAATGTTTAGCTGGATTGTCCAATTGCAGGCTGCTCCACTGATTGTGGTTCATTCAGCTGTCAAACCAGGCCCTGCAAGTAAAAGTTTGGAGTGGGTGTCTTAACCACCGCTGGTATTTAACATTCCCTGTAATCTGTGGACACAGATATTCTGATTTAATGCTGGCTTGTTCCCTGGTCCTGCCGTCATGCACTCTCAGCCACAGAGATTCCAGCCCAGAGTGAACGCACCCACACCCACACAAACACACCACATGTTGTGGAGACAGACCAAGATCATCTGCAGGCTGAACTCCTGTTTTACAGACTAGTCACAGTTAAAAACAAACCATGGTTTCAGGCTGTGCCTGGACTGAGCCTGGTCCTGTGGCGTTTCTGGACGTCTCCAGAACGAGGGTGTGCAGGCAAGGCAGAGGGGCTCAGGACATGCCGAGCGATATACATTCTCTGGGAAGTGGATTTGGCCATTTTTGTTTCCCTTATTGGGACAGAAGGCGCATGACCCACCCACTCTTGCCCAGGTCATCGATTCTTTCCATTTGCACTTGCCACCCACCACCCACCACCACCACCCCTCTCAGCCTCAGATGAATTGAAAGACTTTGCATGGGCAACCACCTGCTGGCAAACATCATCACTCTCTTTTTTAAACAAACAAACTCAAAAAGGGGGCGCCAGGATGTAGCTGGGCAGCAGGGTGACCAAGGCGGGCAGGCCTGTGTTCAGCAGCGTCCTGAGATTGGGTGGGAGCTGGGAAAAGAAACCCCGGCGGTCTCTGAACGGTGGAGAAGCAGAATTCCCCGGGGCTGTCTCTCCCGTGCCCCACGCTAAGGACCGGGTGCACGTTCTGGACGCGCGGAATAGAAAGAGCATGCCGGAGGGGGAAAGTATGTCCCAGCTGGGGAGGGGGGGGATGGAGGAGGCGATCCTTGCCCTTCTTTTTGGCTGCTCTCATTCTAGGCGTCTCTTCCTCGAGTCCCCCTGATACGTTTCCCGACATTGTTTTCTGCCTCCTTCCCTGATTGCCCCTTTCCTGTGCAGAGACTGGTCCTGATGAACATGCCCGTGGCGGAGGACAACACCGTCCACTTCACCTCCACTCTGATGGCCCTGATCCGAACAGCTTTGGACATCAAGATTGCGAAAGGTAAAAGGAGGAAGGGGAGGGCAGGCGAAGGCAGAAGGGGCCTCATCCTGACCGGTGGAGGGTCTCCCCAGGAGATCTGTTTTAAAAGCCGGCAGTCGTACTGGTGTAAAAAAAAACCCTCATGGCAGCTGAGCTGAGCAAGTGTTGCAGTCTACAGTATAGTCTTAGGAATGGTCGTGTGAATACAGGCATTCTATTTTAAGAGTGGCCGAGGCTATCTGATAGCACCTCCACGGCCCAACTTTTTTTCTACTAGTGGGGCAAGTTTGGATAAATCAGTTCTACCGAGACAAGAGTATTCTGATCCTCTATTGTGTTACATCCAGTATTCCCTCTAAGCTGAGTCAGTGTGAGCGAGCTCACAGTTTTTTAGCCTCCAGCTCACACATTTTTGTCTCAGCTCAGAAAGGAGGGCTCCAGAGCAAACTAATCTATGCAGCAGCCAAATGGCTCGCTCACAACTTTAATGCCAGTCGCTCACCAAGTAGAATTTTGACTCACAGCTTAGAGGGAGCATTGGTTACATGATGGGACCTTCTTGGCTTGCATCTGTGATGACAACTTCCTCTTCACATCCTCAGGGCAGAACATGAAAGACAAAGTGTGTGTGTGTGTGTGTGTGTGTGTGTAAAGTGAGGGAGCTTGGATTCTATACTTTGTCCCACATTATACTCTGTCCCACGTCATAGAGTGCATTTTTCTAATGCTAGGCACTTTCCATTCACCCAAGAGCAATGTCTTTTCTTGTTTGCTTTGGTGTACCCCTAGTAAAAAAAGCTGTTGGCTCTCCTCCCCACCCTGGTTGTGTTTGTATATTTGAAAGTTTTTATTGAATTGCTTAACTATTTTAAATGCCACTTTAGTGTTTTAATGTCTGGACATTCACTGCCTGAGGGGACCTGTTTGGGTGGAACGGTGGCACAGAAATATTTTTAATAAAACAGTGAGCACCTTTGCCAGCCGCAAAGTTGGGTTCACGCGGCAGGTTAATGATTCACGCTCTAAATGCTGTTGAAATGCTGCGGCTCTCATCACTCTTTGATTATGGGCATAAGCAAATTTTCCCCTTTGGTTTGGCCCAGGCTGGTCTAGTTTTCCATCTGCATCCATTTGGATCTGACCTAAAAATCTATTTACGGGGGGGGGGAGAGAGAAGAAATGGGACAACAGCCGGTCTGTGTGGGATGGACTTGGGATCAGCGTCTGAATGGAGCGATGGGAATGAGGATAGGATAACAGAAGGCTCGCGTGGGCTGGAGTTGGGAATAGGATCTTTAATGAGGGGCTGGCAATGAGGACAACAACGAAGGAGTTTTGAAAGTTCTGTGTTAAGTCTTGGGGGGGGGGATTAGGTTGTGAATTTCCTGTGAATGTTCTTTTACATTCCAGTCACTTGAATCTGATTTTCAACCTAGGAAGAAAAATAGATTTTGACACCTGTTGCTCCTCTCTTGAGGCAAAAGCCGCTGATACAAACAGAGAGAAAATGTGTCAGCACTGCAGATTTGGAGGGAAAGGCACAGACTTTACTAGAACTAGGGTTGCCAGCCTCCAGGTGGGGCCTGGAGATCTCCTGCTTTTACAGCTGACAGAGATCAGCTCCCCTGGAGAAAACGGCCGCTTCAAAGGGTGAACTCCGTGGCATTGGGCCATGCTGAGGCCCCTCCCCAAGCCCTGCCCTCTCCTGGATCCACCCCCAAAGTCCACAGGTCTTTCCCAACCCAGACCTGGCGACCCAGACTAGAACAAACTGTGCTTAGCTCACCAGATGCTGCCAAATCTATACCGAGAGGGTGTCCTTGGGCCTACAGCCCTGCACTGTGAGGAAAATCTGTATCAGCTCTGAAATGTGGTCCATCCAGTGTTGGTGACACACATTGACCGGCCTTGGTGCCGCCAGCCCCGACCCTCCTTTCTTATCTCACATGTCATCACTGAGCTTTGGAAGCACTCAGAAGCTCCAGCACCCAGCTCAAGAAGGACCCTCAAGTCCCAGGCTTGTCCCTCCCCATGCACTGACCTTCAAAAGCACCCTACTGTCTATCACCAGATTAAATGGTTCTGTCCCATCTGGCGACTTCATTTGTGGATTTCTCTTGATATTTGTGATCCTCCTATTTAGGATTGGGGGCCACGATGGCTCAGAGGTTAAGATGCTGAGCTGCAGACTGGAAGGTCTGTAGCTCGGCCGTTCAAGACCCGAGTGCCACGTGACTGAGTGAGTCCCCGTCTCTGGCCCCAGCTCCTGCCAACCTAGCCGTTCGAAAGCAAGACATTGCAAGCAGGTACCGCTTCGGTGGGAAGGGAACAGCGTTCCGTGCTCCTCGGTATTCAATCGTGCCGGCCACATGACCACGGAAACATCTTCAGACAGTGCTGGCTCTTTGGCTTGGAAATGGAGATGAGCACTACCCCCTAGAGTCGGATTCGACTAGCTCTCGAGCAAGGGAAACCTTTACCTATTTAGGATAGCCAGGTCCCCTCTGGCCACCTGCAGGGGATGGGAGGGTAGGGGGGCCAGATCCAGGTTGGAAAATTCCTGGAGATTTGGGGATGGAGGATGGGGAGGACAGGCAGGGCCGGCTCACCCACTAGGCCAACTAGGCATTCGCGTAGAGCGCCGGGTCCTGGATGGGGCGCCAAGCTGTGCCTCCCCCCTCTGGTGGCGGCGGCGGGGGGGGGGAGGCGGTGGTGGCAGCAGCAAAAGGGTGGCTGGCTCCAGAGGTCTCCAGGTCTCCAGGCCCCACCAGGAGGTTGGCATCTGCGCCATAAGGCAGCCTTGCCTAGGGCACAGAAACACCTCGAGCCGGCCCTGAGGACAGGGGGGCCTCAGTGGGGCACAGTGCCACAGACTCCACCCTCCACAGCAGCCATTTCCTCCCGGGCAATCGATCTCTGTAGTCTGGAGAAGAGCTGCAATCCCAGGGGATCCCCAGGCCCCACCTGGAGGATGGCATCCCTACTTCTATTTGTCCTCCATTTTGTATTTTCCTCTACTGATTCACTGTAGGATCGTGAGGACAGAGTATTACACTGACAAAAGTTATACTGTTGTGTAACGGTCAGAGTGCTGAAATACTACTTGGGAGACCCAGGTTCAGATCCTTACTCACCCAGTTCATTGGGTGCCCAGTCATTTTCACTCTGCCCAGTACTGCCCATTTTCACTGGCAGTATTGGAAGCAGAAAGCCAGCCAACTAGATTGGCACTGACTAGATTTGGATTGGAACGTGACTGGAAAAAGCTAAGAAAAACACCAAACATTCTGGCCGGCACCCGCCCTGTGACCGATCGCCTTCACCTTGGCACTGATCAGTCTCCCCTCAGTATTGACAGACTCTGCCTCCCAGAGGTCGAGCTTCACCATCACCTCGGGATTGACGGGAATCACCACATCGATGCCAACAGGAAGATTCACCTCAGAGTCAAGGCTCAATACCAACAATCTTTAGATCAAGGTCCCCTCTACTACGTAGACTTCACCTTCCGGAATTGATGTTGAGCTATCATTGTGCCCAAAGACAGCCTCGCTATTGAGCGATGGAGTCTTTAAAGGGCCACCATCTGATCCTTCTATGACAAAGAATCCAACAACCTCCTTTTCAATGGCCACTTCTGCAGAACCCTCGGTCCACTTTCCCCTTTATGATGCAAACCCAATGGGGACCGTGAATCCTTCCACAACTCCAGTCGATGCCAATCTGATTGCCCTTGCAGCCTCCAAAGCCTAATACAACCTGTGGAGGCGGGTTCATGGTGGGGCGTCAGGCGGATTCGCGCAGGGGAGGCGGGCGGCCTTGTCTGGCTCTGGCTCTTTTGCTGGGGTTGAGAGGTGAGCCTGGCAGCCTGACTCGCCCGAAAGGGCTCTTTGCCCCGTTTGTCCGGGGAGCGCCTCCTCCCGCTTCAGCGAGCGGCGGAGAGAAGGGCTCACTAGGGCACGCTCCGGGAGGTTGGCAACCCCACAATTGGGTGCACGCTGGGGGGGGGGGCGCCAGAAGGTAGCCCTGCCCAGGGCGCAAAAAAACCTCGGGCCGGCCCTGACAACTCGGCGGCGGGGGCAATCGCCAAGGAAGCCGCATGGGAGTGGGCCGGCGACAGCGCTGAACAGCCCTCCACCAGCCACGTTGGCCAAGAAGACCTCCAGTGCCGTGGGCTGAGGCACCAGGAGCTGCAGCATGAGCAGCAGCAGGAGGAGGAGGCCGGGATTGACTTGCAGCTCAGCGGGGGGAGCCCCCAGGATGCCCCCAGTTGGGTGGATGGCCGCCAGGAGGCTGCGGGCACTCACGGCAAGCAGAGCAGCAAGGGCAGGAGCGGGAGGGCATCCACGGCCCATGCCAAGCACCACCTGTTTTGTTCCAGGGTGGCCCTTGACAAAAATTCAGTTGGGGATGCTTTCCAGTCATGGTGGCATGGCCGTCTCTTCTGTGGCTTTCCCCCATTTGGGGTGTTGCACAAAGTGATATCAAAACTAAACGCAGGTGGGACCTTGTGCATCCTGTTATCACCATACTGTCCCTGGAGGGTGTGGTTACTTTACTTTACCTCTTACCGTTTTTGCAACCAGAGTGATTGAGTGCTGATTAAGTAATGGGGAAGCCAACTCAGCTCTTCCTTCTGAGAATTTAGGACAGTCAAAGAAGATGTGGTCTCCAGGACCAATTTTGTTGTCGCCGCAGTTGCAGAATCTATCTGAATATGGGATTCTGCGGAATCTTCCTAGCGTCGCTGCTGAGGGCAGGGCGTTTAAGCACGGGAGCCTAAAAGCCCTTCTGTCCTTCGGGATAATGAGGGGAGGAGGGTGCAGTTCCCCATGCTGTGGTAGACCACAGGGGCTTACAGGGCCCTGCCTCCAGCAGACAGCCTCCTTCACATAGGGCCAGTTCGTCACCCAGACGTGAGGTCATTACATCCGACGGAGGGGCTAATTCAACAACAGGCAATTTTTCGTAAAGCACAGAACAGACCATAGCAGCCTTTCATAAACCTGCCATGAAAAAATCTTATCTGTCTGAATGGAAAAGGTTCACCTCGTGGGCTAACAAGCAGAGGGCTGATTCTGACCAGGATTAGAAAAATTGTTTTTCGAATGATTATCAAAGTTCTGTGGTGCCAAATTACCCACAATTGGTGGGTGCTGTCAATAATAAAGAAAGGTTGCGTTCTGGACTTTCTTGCAAACTAGCAAAGATATTTGATTACCTTCTAGTTTTAAGAGATGGTGATCTTGCTTCCTCCTCTCTAAAGGTACACCTGGCTGGCCATCTCGGCTTAACTCAGGTTAATTAAAGGATGCTCAGTGTACCCTACTCCCAAATCAGGAAGTTTACTTAAAGGTTTGCATAATATTTTTATGTTGTACCCCATTTCTCAATGGAGCTTGTCGGTGGTTCTAACAAAGTTAACGTATAAGACTTTTGAACCTCTGGCTAAGACTGAATTGTGGTTTCTTTTGTACAAGACTGCCATTCTAAGAGCCGCCACATCTGCCAGAAGGGTGGGTAAACTACATGTGCTGAGCTGCAGGAAACCCCCCCCCCCCTTTATTAAGTTCCACATGGATACGGTGGTGCTCAGTCCCAGCTTGGAATTCCATCCTAAGGTGGTGTCACATTTCCACCTGAACCAAGACAGCAACCTCCCTGTGTCCTTCTTTTTGCCGACATCGCTGTCAGAGCAAACACTACACACATTAGACACGAGAAGGGCACTCCTCTTTTATTTGAAAAGAACACAGGAATTTAGGAGAGACAGAAATTTATTTATATGCTTCAAAGGCTCCAATGAGGGTAAGGTTGCCTCAGCTCAATCACTGTCCAGATGAAGAAGAAGAAGAAGAAGTTTGGATTTATACCCCATGGCCCTTCACTACCCAAAGGTGTCTCAGAGTGGCTTACAAACTCCTTTCCCTCCCCCTCCCCACAACAGACACCCTGTGAGGGAGGTGGGGCTGAGAGAGCTCTTGACAGAAACGGCTCTTTTTCAAGGACCACTCTTATCAGAGCTACGGCTTGCCCAAGGCCATCCAGCCAGGTGCAAGTGGAGGAGTGGGGAATCAAACCCGGTTCTCCCAGATTAGAGTCCGCACACTTAACCACTACACCAAACTGGCTCACTCGTCTCTGTCATGAAGACAGCTTACGGTGAAGCCAAGGTGCCTTGCCCCATCACTCTGGAGGCTCGCTCCACGAGGGCCCAAGCCTCATCAGTGGCTTTCTGGTCCAGACTCACCCTTGATGACACTCGCAAAGCAGCTGTGTGGTCCACACTGCCGACACTCATCAGGCATTACTCGATGGACGTGAATTCCAGGAACGAGGCTGCGGTGGGAAAGACAGTGTTACAAGCGATCTTTCACTGATCAGCCCACACGTGTACCTTCTAGGCCAGTGAACTTGCCAGTCTCCCATGCGGGACTGCACAGAAGCCACGGCGATGAAAACAGGGTCGCGCTTACCTGCGAGTGGTCCTCTGTGCAGGTGCGCATCCCTCCCTCCTTTCCCCGCTGTGAGCGGCTCATCCAACACGACAGTGTCCTCACGGGAGCCAAAGGTAACGGAGGGAAGAGTGCTCTCCCGGCATCCCTCGTGTGATCCTCTAGGTGGGAAAGTTAGTACCTCTGTAAGCGGAGGGGAGGGGCAGCACTCCTAAAGCCTAGAATGTTCTTTAAAATCTCGGAAGCTCTTCTCCGTGGCTGTCCTGCGGTCCCCATGTGTGCCTGCGCAGAAGACCACTCAATGAACAATGGCTACAAGTTTGCCACCCTGTTTTTCTCGGCAGACTCCTTTCGACCTGTTTTCTTCTAGGTGGTGCAGACTGGCAGCAGTTGGACTCTGAGCTCCAGAAGGAGATTCTGACCATCTGGCCTCACCTTTCACAGAAGATGCTCGATTTGTTGGTGCCCATGCCAAAAAGTGAGTCACTGCATGAGGGACCATGGCTGCCGGGTGCCCGTGAGGACAGGGGTAGGGAAGGGGGGAGCGGAAGAGGGCGAGGGGCTGGATGCCGGATTATGAAAAAGCAGAGAAGGGCAGCAGCAGCATCGAAATTATTTTCTCCCTGGTTTCAACGCATTCAGCACACCATTGGTTTACGTACCTGAAGTTCCATCTTTGGCTCTCTGAAGACCTCAAATAAATGGAGAACAAAATTCTAAAACATATCCAGATCTCATGCTCTTTTCCTGACCCTGAGTATAAGGCAGCTTCACATGTTCCCAGCCATGCAGGGCTTGATTCAGCCTTCGGCTAGCCTGTTACTGCCCCCGTAAGCATCAGCTTTGAACCTAAGAGTCCTGTCTTTGACTTTCAGCAACGGACCTGACCGTTGGCAAAATCTACGCAGCCATGATGATAATGGACTATTACAAGCAGAGTAAAGCTAAGAAGCAAAGGCAGCAGCTGGAAGAACAGGTTGAGCACACTTCTGGTAACATGGGGGTGTGGCCTAATATGCTAATGAGCCATGCTCTCATGGGTGTGGCTGGATATGCTAATGAGTTTCTGCTGTTGGGTGTGGCCTATTATGCTAATGAGCTCCTGCTGGGCTTTTTCTACAAAAAGAGCCCTGCACACAAGCATTAAAGGGGTCCTCCTGGTGTTCTCTGACATGTTCCAGCTTCTTAGGGTTTGGCTTGAGAAGCTGAATTGCGCTGTCTAATGACCGCCTGACAGGCCAGCCTAGTCTGATCTTGTCAGAGTTTGGGATCTGAAGCAGGAAGAGTTGGGTTGCCGTGCAGAGGAAGGCAATGGCAAACCGCCTCTGCTTGTCTTTGGCCTAGAAAACCTCATGGTCCTGGGGCTGCCACGCGTCAGTTGTGACTTGATAGCACACAATTACTAATCCATGGCCTGGATGGCCCCGCCTACCCGGCAGGGGCCGTACCGGTTAGTCCTTGGATGGGAGGTCACCCAGGAAGTCCAAGGTCGTGGCACAGAGGCAGGCGACGGCCAACCCCCTCTGTTGGTCTCTTGCCTTGGCACTTCTGACAACATGGTTATGGTCTCTGTTTTTATTATGACTTTAAATAATACTGCAACCCCTGCCTCGAGTCCTTTTCGGAGAAATGTGGGCTGGAAACATAGTAAATAAATATGAAACCGCTCCTTGAACGGAGGCTCTATTCTCTCTTTTTTTCCCCTACAGAAAAATGCCCCAATGTTCCAGCGGATGGAGCCGTCCTCTCTTCCTCAGGAGATCATTTCTAATGCCAAAGCTTTGCCTTACCTCCAGCAGGATACGCTTTCAGGCCTGTAAGTGGGGAGGGTGGCGTGGCGTCAGCGAGGCCCGTCTCTCCTGCCGGCATTTGTATTCTGACTGCCGTTGCCTCGGTCTTTGAAGGGCCCTAGAGACAAAAAGAGGCAGTAGAAAGAACTGGCAGAGAAAGAGAAATCGAAAGGGGTTTTGAAAGTCTTGATAATTACCAGGCAAGCACCTAATTCTAGGGAATGGGGGCAATCGTTGGCATAGGCAAATAGTGCTCTTGTCATTCAATCCTGCTGTTGCAGATGAAGGGATGAGGGCGACAGCTGTGAGTTTGTTCTGAAGTGCCACGTGTCCCAGGCAGGTGGAGGACCGATTCAGATTGGAGCCGTGGCACTCAGAGAGAGAGTCTAGACTCCTCCACTGCCACAGAGGTCTCCCCATCCTTCTGTCGCCCTGAGGTTCTGTTTTACGTATTGAAGCTACCCCATACCCTGTGCCCACGTTCCATTTCCACAGTGGGGCAAACTGGGGCCCCCAGCACCACTGTGGGTCAGGAGAGTGGCAAAGGGGGAAGGTCCAAGCCCCTCTTTCTCCACACGTCACAGTCAGAATCCACATTGGGGGCCCCACCACACACCCCAGGAGCAGCGAACTTCAGAACATGCCTCCTCAAGAGGGCTGCCAGCCCCCAGTGGGGAAATGCCTGGAGACTTGGGGGGGGTGGAGCCTGAGGAGGGCGGGGCTTGGGGCACGATGCCGTTGAATCCAACTTCCAAAGCAGCCATTTTGTCCAGGCAAAACAGTCTCTGTTGCCTGGAGATCAGTTGTAACAGCAAGAGATCTCAAGCCACCACCTGGAGGTTGCAAACCAAAGAGAGTGATCACGGGAAAGAAGTTGAGAAGAGGCAAACAGCCGTGATGTACTATGCCAGAAAAGTCTCCAAAGACTAGAAATTTCTTTTTCCAGTATTCAGTTTACTGGAAGCAATTCAAACGCCATCAACACCAACGAACCATGCATCTTACATCTCGTTTTGTGTATAACTTTATCAAAGTGGGTAGCGTTGAAATACCTATATTTAATTACAAAAATATAATTCTATTATTAGTATTAGCAAGAGAATAACACAAATATTGTAAGTGTGTTATATGACAGTCAGCTCCATCTTCATAAAGCTCCGCAGGTTTGCACAGAGGAGGCTTTCCTTACAAGGGTACTAAAGGCATGAAGTAGCAGCAAGGACCAGGTCCTTGGAGGGTGTGACTGTATGCTGCTCATTTTTTTACAAGCACATTTGTGAATGTGAACATATACATGCACGCAGAGCATCTTTACGTGTATGCGGAAACATGTAGGATTGGATCTAAATTCATTTTTCCACCCATTCACAGAAGGCACTCACTTCCATCAGCAGAATGGAACTTCCCTGCCTTCCTCCTCCACCTGCAAGCTCAGAGAGCTCCCCAGAATGCCATTCCCGAAGGGGAAGGGCAAGGAAGGTTCCATTCTGTTGGTGGCATGAACAGGAACCAGAGTTTGGATCCAGCCCACTATGAGGGACGGCTCTTCAGGATCCGAAATGAGCACTTTATACCTGCCTCTCTTGGGAATTCTGCATTAAGAGCATCACAGAAGACCGAAGTGCCCATTCTTTCCTTTTATACCCCCTCCCTTTTGACCCTATATGACCCCCAAAGCAGCTAATGATGAAATTGTATTTGATGAAGCTTTGAGTCTCAAAAGCTTATACCCTGAAAAACTGTGTCAGCCTCAAAGGAGCTACTGGACTTGAATTTTGTTCCAATAAATTTAAAGACATCAGCAATCAGCAACATTAAGTATAAAAACAATAAACCCAGCAGACTAGTGCCATAACATTCAAAGGGCCTGGCAAAACTGAAGTCATAGGATTAAGGGCAATTGTAGGGATTTGTCAGCAAGTTTTCCTTCGGAAGAGAATTTCACAAGAGAAGAGCAGGGAACTCTCCCAAGTGGGTGGCAATTTGATTGTGGTCGCCTCTGGGCTAGATCTCCGTCTGTGGAGGCAGGGTCCTGTAGGGGAAGGCCTGGTCTGCCTTGGTCCCAGGCGGGGGCGCAGAGCCTAACAGTTTCTCACCCATGACAACCATCTTCAGACATGCATTCCCAGAATGCTAGAAATATTGCTTGCAAATAAAGGCCATTAGATTTCATTGGCACATTTATTCATACATGTTCCTTGGCCATTTTGGAATCTGTCTTTGAGTTCCCAAGTAGCAGGAGCTAAAAAATATGCAAGATTTGAGTACAGGAACACCTAAAGAGCAACAAGATGTCCAGGGTGTATAAGGGTGTATAATCTTCAAAGCTCATTCATCACGTACCTGGGGAAGGGATTTTTGACTCCCAAAACCTTAATACTCTGGAAATCGCGTGCTGCTGGACTGAACTCTTGCTGTCTACTGTGGACCAGTGTGGATGCTGTTCTACTGTGGACCCGGGGATGGAAAAAAGCCATTTCCCCCACAAGCTTGTTGTAGTGGTTAAGAGCAGTGGACTCTAATCTGGAGAACCGGATCTGATTCCCCCACTCCTCCACATGCAGCCATCTGGGTGACCTTGAGTCAGTCACAAATTCTCTTAGAGCTGTTCTCAAGAGCAGTCCTCGAAACAGTTCTCTCAGCCCAACCTCACAGGGGTGTCTGTTGTGGGGACGGGAGGGGAAAGGAGTTTGAAAGCAGCTCTGAGACACCTTTGGGTAGTGGAGGGCGGGGTATAAATCCAATCTCCTCCTCCTCCTCCTCCTGCTCCTCCTCCTCTTCTTCTTCTTCTTCTTCTTCTCCCCCTCCTTCTCTCCCCCCTTCCTCCTTTCTTTTTTCTTCTTCTAGTACTCAGATGTGCCTAAAATTAGAGGTTGGTAGGGTGGTATCTTTTCTAGACCAATTTATACTGGTTAGTGTGTTTAAAATGATGACTTCTAAACCTTTGTACAATCTTAGTCTTCTCACAGAAGGAATGCTAATTCTAGGAATGTAATTAAATGAGATCAAGTTTTCTGGGGGGGGGGGGGAAAAACCCTGGGGTGGTCTCCTCCTCTCATGTGAAGTGGGGTTATCGTTACAGGAGCAGCCGGAGCGGCTTCCCCTCCCTGAGTCCTCTCTCTCCCCAGGAGATATTCCAGTTGGCTTGCATGGATCCAACCCACGGGGAATACCAGGAGCAGCAGTCTTTGGTAAATCACGGCATGATATCTGAATGCCTGTTTTTGCTGCTTTCAGAGGTTTCCAGTATAATCCTGATGATGTTGTATATTGTTAGTATGTGGTTGAAGACCCTTTTGGATTTCAAGCATTGACGTGGTACCGGTATAAAGTAAACCCACTCTTCTCTTTCCATGGAGATATTAGGGAGCCTGTTAGGCTCTGGAAATATTCTCACCATGGCAACGATATTGCCGCTCTTTCCAAAAAAACAAAAACCATTCTGTGCAACGTGATGTCGGAACAGGACCAGGGGCTTTTCCATCCCATCCCCCAGCCCCTTCATGTATAAAATCAGTGGGTTACACGTCTGCTGCAAGAAGCACTTTATGCAACATACCACAATGAAATCCCAAAACCAACTATAAGATGCAAGAAAAAAATAACTTTATGATTTCTTGACAGGAAGGTCCTTACACAAATCACTCCAGCATCCGATGATACAACGTTGACTTGACTCTTCTCTTGGTGCTAAATAAATACTGCATTTACCACTAAGAGAGATTTTGCCAGGTCTCCCCTATTCCTGATGGGAATACAGACCCTATAAAGTATCATTACTACAGCTGTTATGAAGTATAAAGAAGAAGGACAACAGCTGCTCCTAAAACGGGCTGCTTTATTCTCAAAATAAGCTTGGATGAGCAACGGTTCTTGGCTTTCACTGTGGCTTGGATCCACCGGAGAGTTTCTGCAGATGCAAGGATTTCGACCCATTGAGTATGAGTTTTTTACTTTCCTCTCTGCCTGCTACTGCCCAAAACACTCCCCCAAAATGCTGCTTCTAGGAAACATCTTTGGAAATGCTCCAGTAGATCCAAGCCCATGTATTGTCTTTCTCTGCCCTCACTCCCAAATCTAAAATGGTACCACCTAGTGACAGACCCTGATGCTGGGAAAGACTGAAGGTCAAAGAAGAAGGGGACGGCAAAGGATGAGATGGTTAGACAGTGTCATCGATGCAGCGAACATGAAATTAAGCAGACGCCCAGAGGATGGTGGAAGATAGGAGGGCCTGACGTGATGCGGTCCATCATGGGGTCGCGAAGAGTCGGACTCGACCGTGCGACTGAACAACAACAGAAAAGTGACATACAATCAACACTTCTCTGTTAATTTCCCCAGATACAGGAGCAACTTCAGGAACAGCGATTACAGGGCTATTTTCAGGCAGGAACACACAGGAACGGAGTTCCGACTGGCTCCTGAGTTGGCCATGCCCAGCAGGAACTCATTAGCATAATAGGACACACCCAATAGCAGAAACTCATTCGGATTGGCTACATTAGGGGTGTGTGGCCTAACATGCAAAGGAGTTCCTGCTACAAAAAAAGCCTTGGGTTTTGACAACAAACAAGGTAAACAGAATAAGAAGGGAAAGGTGGGCGTGGCTGGATGACGACACTTCTGGTAACATGGGGGTGTGGCCTAATGTGCTAATGAGTGGTGCTGACAGGGTGTGGCCTAATATGCTAATGAGTTTTGCTGTTGGGTGTGGCCTATTATGCTAATGAGTTCCTGCTGGGCTCTTTCTTAAAAAGAGCCCTGAGCGATTATATGAATGAATCATAGTGAAATGGAAAGTAGCTGATTATTTGAGTCACATAAAATAGCTCTCTTTCCAGTGGTTGCCCCCAAACTCTGTGTTAGGGATTATTAAGAAAGGAACTGAGAATAAAAAAGCTGATATTGTAATGCCCCTGTATGGTGCAGCCTCGTTTGGAATCTTGGGTGCCGTTCCGGTTACCGTCTCTCCAAAAGGACATTGCAGAGCTGGAAAAGCAGAGAAGGGCAACCCAGATAATTAGGGTGTTTGAACACTTTCCTTTTAAGGAAAGGCTGAAGAGCCTTGTGGGACTTTTCAGTTTAGAAGAGAGACAACTACGGGGGTACATGATAGAGGTTTGTAAAATGATGCATGGGGGGAGGAGAGAGTGGACAGGGACATTTTTCTCCCTCTCCCAAAATACTAGAACTCGAAGGCATCCAATGAACTGATGGGCAGTAGGTTCAGGTACAAAAGGAAATACTACTTTACACAGAGAGTGATTAAAATGTGGAATTTCACAGAATCTTGGAAGGGGCCATACAAGGCATCTCGTCCAACTGCCTGCTCAATACAGGATCAGCCAGAATTTGCTGCCAGAGGATGTAGTGATGGCCACAGAAATAAACAGATTTAAAAGGGGATTAGATAGATTCATGGAGGATAGGTCTATCAGTGGCTACTAGCCATAGTGACTGAGGGGCACCTCCATGTTCAGAGGCACTAAGCCTCTGAATCCCAGAGCCAGGAGGCAAATATCAGGGGAAGGCCTCTATGCTGGTTGGCCACTGTGTGAGATGGGAGGCTGGACTAGAGGGAACCTTTCCTGGTCTGATCCAGCAGGGCTCTTCTGGTGTTCTTATGAAGGCCTCAGCCTCTCTGCCCTGTTGTTGGCCCTCCAGAGGAACTGGCTGGCCCCTGTGTGAGACAGGAGAAACTGGCTGGCCCCTGTGTGAGACGGGAGGCTGGGCCGGATGGACCCTCCCTAGTCTGACCCAGCAGGGCTCTTCTGAGGTTCTTCTCAGGGGAAGGCCTCAGCCTCTCTGCCCTGTTGTTGGCCCTCCAGAGAAACTGGCTGGCCCCTGTGTGAGATGGGATGCTGGACCGGATGGACCCTCCCTGCTCTGATCCAGCAGGGCTCTTCTGATGCTCTTATGTTCTAAAGTGGGATGGCCCTGGATGAAAGAAATGTGGAAATGTGTTTCATGTGACACAACTCTCCATCATGCCCCTGTTTTGATTCACCTTTTATTCTTCACATTCTTTCTATGCATTCGGGGACAGCCTGTGGAGACCCTAAAGGACTTTTGATGATCTGTTGTTAACTAATGAGTGGTCCCAGAATATTCTAACAGTGAGGAAGTAATCAATGGATAAGCACAAGTGGAAAAATTTGGTTACATCCTTGCAACTGTGTTTTGTGTTATGAATAGGCAACATTTTGTAAAAGTGTAGAAATGCAAGCTAGGGCCTTAGGGCTGCTGGGAACTGTAGTCATTTCTGATATAAACTAGTTGAAAATTTGACCTTCTATGTTCATGAGTGCTACTGATGATGGTGGTCTTTTTGCAGGTTGGTTTTCCTCTCATTAAGCAATCATTTCATTGGGGTGTCTTACCGAGGCCAAATGACAGTATCTGACGCTTCTGGGTTTGTGTTCATTTCGTCTTGAGTGCTGGTGTCCATGGTCCAAACTTGAACTGCTGAATCATGTCACACCAATGTGAACATATGCCTCTGGCCCACCCACACATGCGCCCACCTTTCCAGCCGGGGGCACTAGTGTCTGTGTGTGTATATGGCTCTCTCTCTGTGTGCACATCTGTGCGCCACTGTCGGACTGTGGTGCTACATAAGTGTGCCTCTCCAGTCCGCTCTGTGTGCTTCTCGGAGTGTGTAACACTATATCCATAAATATTTTTGCATCACACACATGCAGTATGCCTCCTTGTACTGTTCCACGCTTCACCCTGCAAAGAGAAAATGCAGATGACTTTTCACAGAGCCTGGCTTTCCCTTTGTGATGTCACTCTTGCTGTTTTCTAATGATGACTATGGTTTTTAACAAACATTGGCTTTGGTTATCACCATTGTACATTACAAAGGAGAAAGGATAAAAATTGGCATCCCACAAAATCTGCATGCCTGGAAAAGCTTCTGCTGATATCAAAAAGATATTATACTAGATCCATTCGGCTCGAAGTATCAGGCAGCTGAATCCACACAGCATGGATCAGACACCCATAGAATGCCCGCTAATGCAAACTTTTTGATGACTGCCTCCAGAGAGAAACCCGAGAAATACAGAAATCCGCCATGGCGTTTCCTGTGGATTGCCGCTGACAAAGTATTTAAGCCTAAACTGGTGGCAGAATGCAGGGAGGAAAATTCAGGAAAAGAAACTAGGCTGAACCCAGAATACCAGCTTTCTAGTAAAACATAGAGCTGGAAGGGACCCCCAGGGCCATCTAGTCCAATGCCCTGCACAGGGCAGGAAATTCACAGCTACCTCCCCCTCCACTCCCCCAGTGACCCTGCCTCCACGCCCAGAGGAAGGCCCAAAAAAAGCTGCTGTTGAAGTATAGCTCAGTTCTGGGCACATTTCCTTGGAAGGGAACCCTGTTGCACTCCAGATTAGTGTCTCTCTTTCTCTCGCCTACGTGACACGCACACATGCGATGTGGTCGGCATACAACGTTCACTGTCCTCCAAAGGTGTACAGACCCCTTTTCTAAAGCCATTCTGAAGTCCATTGGTGAAGACGACACTGGCAGAAAAGGCAGGTGACAATCATCCAACCGAATCCCATGAGCTTGGCTGTGTGTTTATTTCCAGGAGCCAGAGGTTAGAGAGTTTAAAAGAGTGCAGCCCTCTAACCGTGGCAGCCACCTCCCCGTGGACACTCAGGAACGAGCTGTATCTGGGAGGGCCTCCTCCATGCCACGCCTGACTGTGGATCCCCCCCAGGTAAAACCGAGCGAAACCGTGGCTGACGCAACAGGAGTGATATGTGGTCCTTTCCCAAGGGATGTTGTCGCTTAGGAACTTTTGGGCTAGACCGAAACCAGTTAGCTCCTCACCAGAACCAAAGAACCTGAGCATTTAGACTTTGAGAAACCCCAGCTCAGTGATTCCCCAACGTGGTGCCCACTGATGGGTTTCCTAGTGCCCCGTTTGCTTCTGAGACAAAACATCACATCTTCAGAGCAGAGAGCCAGTCCTGGCTTTCCTCTCCCTCCGTGGAGCAGGAGGAGCTTCAGAACAACCCAGAAGGCATCACCTTTGTGCCTACAGGGAGCGCCCGTTCAGAAACCAGTGCCTCCATTGTAAGAGGATGCTTGGCTTGCAACCTCCCCCACGTTTTATGAGTCATCCCAGGACCCCACGGCAGCCATCTTGTGGTGGCACCCGCTCCGTTTCTCAACGTTCCAAATGTGTCTACAGGCTCAGTGAGAGGAGAGAACGGAACGGATCACTGAGTTAGTCACTTGCTATGAGGCCAGGCAGGGAACCAAACCCGAACAGCCCCACTGTCACCCTCATTACTCCTTCAGGTGTTGTCGTTTTTTTTTTTCCTGAGACTGCAATGAAACCAAGGAACCAAGCCTTGGGGGGTCCTCTTCCTTCCCTTCTTCAACCAAGACTGTTGCCGGTTGCGGCAAGGACGGCAACAGTTTGGAAGAATCCCTCGGCCACCTGGGAAGTATTTTATTTTATTTTTCTGAACAGTGGCCTCGTTCTCTTTACAGTCTTTTCCATTGTCTTAAGATACTTGTCTTCATGACTCTGCCAAGCATCCTGTCCTGGTCCGTCTTGGCCACGCTCCATCTCTTTGTCTGTCCCACCGGTTTTCTTACGTCTGTCTGTCTCATAAACCAGTTTTGATTAGCTGAGATATGTCAGCTCTATGTCAGCTCCATTCCCGATTTGTTACTGCAATTCCTCAGCAATCAGGCTGTCCCGCACCAAAGGGGCTCAGGGACAGGTAAAGACGTGCAGCCTTTAGCCATTTTATTAACCCATTTGTGCCTAAGAACGGTCGCACTAGGACAGCTGTGTTATGGGTTTTTTGGTCTTCCATTGCTGTTTTCAAATTTAAAATGATCAAACCCCGAAGCTCCTTCACCTCTAGAGATGGGGAGATGGGCTTCCATGGGAGGAGGAACGGTGGTCAGTAAAACAAGGCTGCGATCATATGCACAATTACACCCGATAGAGGCGCGAATGCCGGGTGGATTTAAAGGGAGCAATCAGACAGCAACATCTGGGAAGCGTCCCTCAGCCATCGGCAACCCATTCTGCTCTGCCGCAGAAGCGAAGTTAAAACACACCCAGGGAAATCCAGTAGTAAAGAGGTTGCGACGGGCCAGGAACAGACTTTCCCCTGTCCGATCGCTCCAGCGTGCTCTCATGGCATCGGGATGGTCTGATCAGGCCATCCCAACTCCATGCCATTCTTTGCCCCCCCTTTTCAGGATGCGCGTCATCACACACTCCATAGGGAGCCCTCAGTGCGGAGGTGTGGTTCATCAATTCCTCGTTTAAGCGCACGGGAAGCAAACGTCAAAAAAACCCCCGACTCACCCACAGTTGCCTCTGATCACACACTGACGGGGCTGCAGCCGCAGCTTCAAAGGGAAGTGTGATCTCGCAACTGCGGGTCAAATTCCTCCAGAGGAAATAGCCTCTCTCCCCCCCCCCATTTTATCTGGCGTGTGTGACCGCAACCCAAGTGTTGTAGACTGAAGCCAGAACTTCCAGATGGGTAAGGAAATCCTGTGCTAGAGAGCTAAAGGAATAGGCTAGGAATGGGTACCACAACAGAGATAAAGGAGACATTAACATGGTAAGAAGAAAATGATGGGCTGGCATCTTGAGTAGCTCATAGAAGAATTTTTAAACAACTTTTATGGGAATAGCATAGAAATTAAAAAAAAAAAAAACACCCATAAATCATCCAGTCCCAATACAGTGATGCTGGGCTACTTCTTGGGGGTGAGGCAACCAAATGAGTTTTGTTTATGGACCTCATTTGCCTCAAAGGGGCAGGCAGCGGCTCTGTGGATACTGGTTCAGGTCAGAAAAATGGTGCACGAAGTACCTTTAACACTATCACTCTGTCCATGCTGCAGACCTCGTCGAAACTGGAGTCTGGCACCCATTATTAAAAAGATACCTAGGAGCTGTATCCATGAGGCTGTCAGCATGTCATCTGATAAGGTCCTGAGGTGTTTAACCTGTATCTGAGATGGACTGCTTCAAACAGCTGGTGGGAAATCACATGGCTGAATGCTCCTCCATACATGTCCAGAAGAAGGACAGGCCAACCACCATCCCCCATATGCCTGCCTGCTAGATGCAGGGAATTCAGTGGTGTGGGATTTATGGGAATTCAATTGCATACACTTACATGTGAGCCTCCACCTGCATTCTGAAGCGGCACAGCCCAGAAAGAGGTAGACTACCTCACTTACAACAAGGTCATCAATCAGAAACAGACAGATTAAGTTGACATCTGGACGATCTGACTAGCGTGGACTATTGCAATACAGACATACAGTGGACATGGATAACCACAAAGATGATGGGTTTTGGATGATGGTTCTTTTTCACCACAGTAAACGTGGTGGAGTTTCTCCTTCTCCTTACTTTTCTAGCTACCCCAGCATTCTTTGCTTCTTCAGCAAACCTTTCAGCAACACTTCAGCTTTGCAGAGTATCAGTCCAGACCACAAGTTTGCTGCTGAATATATTACGGGGTTTTTTGCCTTTGAAACCTTGAAAGAGAGCCCATAGAGAGGATGTTTGACAGGGTTCTCAATGTGGTCTGCTCACGCTTGAGGAAACATTGGTGTTGTTCTCTGGACCAAACGACGTCTTACCTGTGACACAGAAGAGGCGAATCTCCCCCGCGCCCCCCGGGCCCTTTTCGCTTGGGGAAATAGTGTGGGAGGTTAGGCTGAAGCCCCTTCCCCCAAATCATCCTCCTGAGCCCAATCAGCCCACGGTGTGTTTGGGAACATTAGTCCCCCAAAGTCTGTGAAAAGGAGAAAGTCAGGTGGGGGCGGGATGTCACCTGGCTCGTGACACAGGTAACACGTCGTCTGACTTTCTTACACACCACGTTTCCACTTTGCAAGGGCTGATTTAGTGTATGTAGCAAGTCTGCCTCCCAGGAAATGGGGCTGATTGACGATAACATCTAAGGATCTGGCATCTTTTAAAACTTAAGTAGGAAAGGCTGTTACAGCCTCACTCAAGATAATCCTCTCGAAAGGGAGGCCTGGGAGTGACGTTACAGCACACAGGCAAGGGATTCAGAGGAGCTGGGTGCCTGAATCTGGGGTTCAGAAGTAAAATGGATCCTTCTTTTGTTACTCAGATGCTCCCATTCTGATGATTCTGTAGGCCTTAGTTGATCTTATATCTAATAGCACCACCGTAAATGGAAGTTCTTATCTGCCGGAAAAATTAAGTGGGATGTGGTTCTCCAGTCCCCTATGCTGTCTTTACACTTAGTCAAACTAGGTAACTTCCAGAACAAAGGTTGGGTCCAATGGCACCTTTAAGACCAACAAAAGTTTATTTATTTTAAATAAAACTTTTTTGCACACCTTGAAGGTCTTAAAGGTGCCGTTCGGACTCCAACTCTGTCCTGCTGCTTCAGACCAACAGGGCTGCCCACCTGAGTCTAGGTAACTTCCAGTGTCCTTAAAAAGAACTTAATCATCATCCATAAGAGCAAACTTGCTTCTTGTATAGCAGCCAAGCCTTTGCCCAGCTTTAACCATCATGCTCTCATGGGATGCGTTTCCAGGTGGTCACAGATCCTGGCTCCATGAGGCGCTCGTTTTCTACCATCCGAGACAAACGGACTAACACTTCCTGGTTAGACGAGTTCTCCATGGAAAAAAGCAGTGAAAACACCTACAAGTCCCGACGGCGTAGCTACCATTCTGCGCTACACCTGTCTTCGCGACGCCTCAACACAGACTCAGGTAAGCATAGAACAAAGTTTGAGTCCAGGGGCACCTTTAAGACCAACAGAGTTTTATTCAAAATGTGAGCTTTCTTGTGCAAAGCACACTTCTTCAGACAAACGGAAATGGAATTTCCTCAAGGGCTATTTACAAGGCACTTAGAGGGGCCACTCAGAGCCAAGATGCCCATGCAGAGCTGGAATTGGATCAGGTGGAATTGGATCAGGAAAGAGCCGGTAGCAATGGGATGGGCAGAATATCTGTTTTCATTCACTTTTAGTATAATGTGAGGTGTGGCTGGATATTCTGAGATCATATTGGTCTTCCCCAACAATGGCCAGGAACGCTTTCTTGCTATTAGAAAATTAATATGGTCCATTTTAAAAATTGTTTCCACCATTAAGGCTAGCTTCTAAAATGAAAAGTCTTTTTAAAGGCCCATTTTCAGCTATTTTACTACATTTCAAATTATTGGGCTATTATGTCAGTAATTTTCAAGAATAATAGGCATCCCAATCACAAAAAAAATCTAATTGGCTTTCAGTCCCACTGAAATCAGTGAGACAAACACAACTAAGTTTCTTTGAACTATGTTTCTAGAGAACTGTGATTTAAGTAAAATAGTTCTGTGCCACATTCTCAAGGTGGTTCAATGCTGTCAATCACAAGGACTGCGTGGTATTTTTAAAATAAATTGGCTTTCAGTCCCACTGAAATCAGTGAGACAAACACAACTAAGTTTCTTTGAACTATGTTTCTAGAGAACTGTGATTTAAGTAAAATAGTTCTGTGCCACATTCTCAAGGTGGTTCAATGCTGTCAATCACAAGGACTGCGTGGTATTTTTAAAATAAAAGTACTTTAGGACTTTAGCTTTTGTTCTTTCTGGTGAGTTTTTTTTTTTTGTAGTTAGGCTCATTTCATACAGCTGCATTCTTTTAAAATAAGATCGGAATCAAGAATCTGTTCAGAGCACATTTTATATTTTT